AGCCGGGTTCCGCAAAGGATTCAGCACCATCGACCATATCCACACCATAACCAAGATCATTGAGGTTTCTCGGGAGTTCAAGATGCCGCTCTCTTTAATGTTCATTGATTTAAAGAAGGCCTTTGATTCTCTTGAGACGGAAGCAGTCATTGAAGCCCTAGCCAATCAGGGCATTCAAGCCCAATACATCAAAATCCTCCGTGAGCTGTATTGCGGATTCACTACCAGGATCTCACCATTCTACAAAGAAGTGATCGTTGATGTCAAGAGAGGGGTTTGGCAGGGTGATACCATTTCACCGAAACTCTTCAGTGCCACCCTCGAGAACATCATGCGACGACTGGAATGGGAAGGAATGGGAGTGAAGATAGATGGTCGACAACTACACCACCTCTGCTTTGCTGATGACATTGTTTTAATAACACCAAACATCAGCCAAGCGGCACAAATGCTGGCCGACTTTGACCGTGAGTGTGGAAAGGTAGGACTACAGCTAAATCTTACGAAGACAATGTTTATGAGAAACAGCCTCGTTCCTGATGCCCCATTCACTCTCAATGGAACGACCATCTCCGAATGCAACAGTTATGTGTACCTAGGTGGAGAAGTCAACATGACAAATGCCCTGGCACCCGAGCTGCGCAGGAGGAAGAGAGCGGCTTGGAACGCCTTCAAGAACATCAAAGAAATAACTAAGAGGACGAAGAACCTCCAGCTCCGGGCACATCTCTTTGATTCCACTATTCTTCCTGCATTAACATATGCCTCAGAGACCTGGGCCCTACGCAAACAGGATGAGAATGATATTCAGGTCTCCCAAAGAAGAATTGAAAGAGCTATGCTTGGAATATCACGTTTCACTCAAATGAGAGAAAGAATCCGGAGTTCCGACATCCATCGACGATCAAGAATCAGGGACGCTGTCTCGTTTGCCAAGGTGTCAAAAATCAGATGGGCTGGTCACGTAATGAGATTTAAAGATGACTGCTGGACTAGAGCTGTTATCGACTGGATTCCACGGGATGTCAAAAGACCGCGTGGCCACCCACCTACCAGATGGTCAGACTTCTTCATCAAGATCATGAACAATCGGTTTGAGGCTCTTCATGTTCCCAGAGCGAACAGATGCCATTGGGCTACACTAGCATGCGACAGGGACAAATGGAGACGTTACTGGCGCCCACTCGAGCAAATCGACGACTAACAGGAAGTTAAGTGATTAAGTGATAGAATTGCTCTCCTAGGGCCATCTCAATCTCAGACTGCAGTGCTCAGGCCAGATAGTCTTTCCTATCCCTAGCAGGGTCCTAGACTCGTCATTAATTTTGGATCATGACAGCATTTGTCTATGATCAAGCTCTTAACTTATAGTTAACAATCGTGGCACTTTGGCGTGGCCCATTTTGATGCCAGGGTAGCTCACCGCTTGCCCTGGGTCCATTCAATCCCTCGTTGGGACCCTACTTTTGAGGTATTAGTAACCAAGGGCAATTGAGGCTTAAGTCGAGAAAGCAGATGCCCGGGAGTGAATAATATTCAGAGCCAATTAAATCCTAAGTTACAAAGCATAATATTAACGGTCTTCCTGTATCTATACAAAAAGGACATTGCTTTAAAGTAAACTATTCAAAAGACATAAGGAGAGGAGAAAGACAATATTAACTTACAATACAATTTCAGTGTCCTAGGAGGACCTGACCTTACAAATTAACAGAGTCTGATTAGGAGGAAAAGCTGATTAACTGGTTGGGGAGGAGAGCAGAGAAGTAGTTACAGATAAATGAAGGAATGAGAGTGACTCGGGAGCACTGTGATGGGTGTATCCTGATAAACCTAAGTTCCTGTGACAAGGGAGAAAGGACAAAGCAGTGTTATCCTACAAAAACCAACCTTAAGAAGTTTGTTTCCTTTCTATGGATGGGGGGATGGGGGTAGGAGGGATACTGGTACCCATGGTGGTGGAAAATGGGCACTGGTGAAGGGATGGGTACTTGATCATTGTATAACTGAGACCCAAACTCAAAAATTTGTAAGTCTACAACTGTATCTCATGGTGTTTCACTAATAAAAAAATAATAATTAATTAATTTTAAAAAAAGAAGTTTGTTTCTTTTCTATCTTTATTCTCAATAAACTCGCTTTGCAACTTGGAAACTCAAGCAAACATGGGGCCAAAGCAATAGTACAGCAGGTTGGACGTTTGACTTGCACACAGCCAGTCAAAGTTCAACCTCTGGTATCCCATACAGTGCCCAGAAGTGTTTCCTGAGGGCAGAGCCAGGAGCAGTGAACACTGAATATCATCAGATGTAACCCAACAAAACAAAACCAACCAAACTAACAAAACGGAAATGCAAGCATCCAGTAGCCAATTTCCAGTGAGCCAGGAATCCTCCAGGCCCACAGAGCTGCACTCTCATCACTGAGACTGAGAACTCTTCTTATGAGCAACATACCTCACGTGAGTGCATTGAAGAGAGGAAGAAAGGGGGAGGGATGGAGCCTCTGCCCCTACTTTCCAGAGGGCACTCTTTAAGTTCTGGTGTCACTTGTCACTTTTAATCCAAATAGTCTGAAGTCCTTATTTATATTTTTTTTTGCTTTTTTGGGTCACACCCAGCAATGCTCAGGGGTTACTCCTGGCTCATGCATTCAGGAATTACTCCTGGCGGTGCTTGGGGGACCATATGGGATGCTGGGAATCGAATCTGGGTCGGCCATGTTGGCTGCGTGCAAGGCAAATGCCCTACCCGTTGTGTTATCGCTCCAGTCCCTGAAGTCCTTATTAGCACAAAGTAACCAAACTAGAAGAGCTTGACTTCTCTCAGGGAACAGGGGATGATGTCACCCAAGCTACTCTGTCAGGTCTGTTTGTTGGCCTAACTCCAGAGAGACCGCCTAGATTTTGGAGAACTGGCGTCTCATACAGGCCTGGTTAGAGCCTGTTTCACAAGACATTGCCTTATGCCAGCTACACTCCTTAGCTTGTAGTCCCTCCCATGTTTTAGCCAGAGTGGCTTAGCAACCTGCTCCAAATCCAGCTAGGTCCAGGGTGTGACTCCCAAAACAAAAAGGTATAGCGCTGTCCTCCCGTTGTTCATCAATTTCTGAAGCGGGCCCAGTAACATCTCCATTGTGAGACTTGTCGTTACTGTGTTTGGCATATTGAATACATCATGGGGAGTTTGCCAGGCTTTAATGTGTGGGCGAGATACTCCTGGTAGCTTGCCGGGCTCTCCGAGAGGGATGGCGAATCGAACCTGAGCTGACTGGGTTGGCCGTGTGCAAGGCAAACATCCTACCCGCTGTGCTATCGCTCCAGAGATAAAACAAAAGGTATTGAAGCTTATTTACACATATATTTTCTTCTATTCTTCTGCTATCCCTCTATTCCCAATATACTCTAAAACTTAAGGAAGATTCTCTGCAGGTTGTATTTTCAAAAGGCTTTACTAACATTTTGTTTTGTTTTTGGCCACACCTGGTGGTGCTCAGGACTTACCCCTGGCTCTGTATTTAGGGGTCACCAAGGCTAAAATTCTACTTGTGTTGTTTGAAATTCACATTAAAGAGGCGTTTGTCACTAGTAACTACCGTAAGAGGCAGAAGAGAAAAGAACGTTTAGCGCCCTACCCCACTGCTGGAAAATGGTATGAAAGAAGGGTCATGAGGGGGTACAGCAGGTAGGGCATTTACCTTGCAAGTGGCCAACCCAGGTTCAATCCCAGTTCCCCAGATGGCCCCTTGAGCACCACCAAGAGTAATTTATGAGTGCAAAGCCAGGAGTAACTCCTGAGCACTGCTGGGCATAGCCCCAAACAAACAAGATTTTAGACATTTTTTTAAAAAAAGTAAAGAAGTGAACCCTCAGAAAGCTCATAAGATACAGTGTGGTGGTATAACAAGTTTCCTAGGCCTTTTTGTTTTGTTTTGGTTTTTTATTTGTTTGTTTTGGGGTCACACCCAGCAATGCTCAGGGGTTATTCCAGGCTCTGCACTCAGGAATTACTCCTAGTGGTGGTCAGGGACCATATGGGACACCTCAGATGAAACCCAGGTTGGCTGCATGCAAAGCAAACGCCCTACCCGCTGAGCTATCGCTCAGGTCCCTGCTTTGTTTTTTCAATTGTTTTTTATTTTGTTTGGGGGCCACAAGTGGTGGTGTTCAGGGCTTCGCCCCAGTTCTGTGCTCACAGCACCCGGGATATGGGATGCTGCAGATCGAACCTGGGTCTGCCAGGAGCAAAGGAAACGCCCTATGAGCTGTACCATCTCTCCCATTCATGCTTCTTCACTTTAAAATGTGGATATTATTGTTTTACTGAAACTCAAACATGAAAGCTTTGTAACGATAACTCAAGGTGACTCAACAAAAATAAAATAAAAATAAAATAAAATGTGAATATTGTCATCTTAGAAACTGCTCTCTGTGACGCTACTAGCAAGCCCCCTTACACCTAAACACTCCAGAACCCGGCTAAGAGCCAGGTGCCCTGCAGGTGCCCCGGAGGAATCTGGATTTGGACAACATTTCCTATTAGTATGTAAAAAAAAAACCCACGCTTTGGCGGGAGTGTGGCAGAAAGCAAAACGCACTGAACCGTTACCCTGCTCTCCCCGCTTATCCCAAATCTAGGGTTAGAGTGAATCTGTTACAAACAAGCAAACAAAAAAACAAAAACAAAAACATGGGTGGGTGCAAAAATAACCCCATTTCTTCCAACATAACTGCATGGATTAATACTAGGCTTACAAGCTCGGCTTCATTGCAATCACACAGGCGATCAATAGTAAGCTCAGGGAAGCCGCCACCGCGGGGAAACCGCCTTTGAACCGGGTTAGGGGTTCAGCAGCCTGTGATGGGCAAAAACGGATTGAGCCACCTTCGAACTGGGTTAGGGTTCAGCAGCCTTTGACCGTTTGGGGGTTTGCACAGTCACGCGCCGCAACCCAGCCCCGGGGCGTGACCGCGCCTGCGCACTGAGCCCGCCAGCCCGCCACTCCCCGGCCAAGAGGGAGCGCGCAGTCAGTCCGAGCCGAATCGCTCCTGCAGGACCATGTCGGGCTCCACGCGCGTGGCGCTGGTGACGGGCGCCAACAAGGGCATCGGCTTCGCCATCACGCGCGAGCTGTGCCGGCAGTTCTCCGGGGACGTGGTGCTCACGGCTCGGGACGAGGCCCGGGGCCAGGCGGCCGTGCAGCAGCTGCAGGCAGAGGGCCTGAGCCCGCGCTTCCATCAGCTGGACATCAACGACCTGCAGAGCATCCGCGCGCTGCGCGACTTCCTGCGCAAGGAGTACGGGGGCCTCGACGTGCTGGTCAACAACGCGGGCATCGCCTTCAAGAGTAAAGAGGCCCGGTGCTCCCGGGGGAGGGGGCGCCCCTGCCGCCACCAGCCAGGGTGGAACTGGAGACCCGCTGGGACCCCAGTAACCTAGCGGGAGTGGGGGTGGGATGCTCCTTAGAGCCTTCGAGATGGAGGCGGGGTGAGAGATGGGATGAAGCTGAGCAGACTCCCCAGGGCTGGCCTGGAAATTTTCCAGCCTGTTTCATGGCTTTTTCTCTCCTTGGACTTGAGAGCAATTGGATGAACTGTTCATTTTTGTTTATTTTTAATTTTCCCCCCTCCCCAATAAGTCGGGACAGTACAAAACAGAAGAACAGTTGTTTTTTTTTTTTTTTAGTTTTTTGGGGTTACTCCTGGCTCTGCACTCAGGAATCACTCCTGGCGCTGCTCGGGGGACCACCTGGGATGCTGGGGATTGAACCCCGAATCAGCCATGTGCAAGGCAAACGCCCTACCTGCTGTCCTACTGCTTCTGACCCGTGGAAGAACACCTGTTAACGTCAGCAGTCAATTGTGGGCATCGGTCACTCCCCTGTCCCCCTGTCGCCCCATTTCATCCAACCTTAGGAAAATGCCTCCGGTATCATTTGCCCACATCTTCTGTCGTTCTGGGGACTCATCCTTTGCCTTCCATGTGCTAACTTGACTTTCCTTCTCCCCTCAAAGTGAATGACACCACACCGTTTCATATCCAAGCAGAGGTGACAATGAAAACAAACTTCTATGGCACAAAAGATGTCTGCGCGGAGCTGCTGCCTCTCATGAAACCCCAAGGTGAGAAAGCCCAGAGTCCCGTTTCTGGAACCATCTAGCCCTAAACTCACTGGAGGGACTCCCTTGTCTGAACCATGGAGCTGGTCCTTGCACAGCTGACTTATCCCACAGGGTTTCGAGGACTTACTTGCTTGCTCTGTGCGCCTCCTGAGTGTGTTTCCCTGTGGTCCCATCTCTTCTGCCTTTCCCTGGCTCAGCGTCAACCTGTCCAACCTGGTGGAACTTCTCTATGCCAATTCATTAACATTCCCGACACCTTTTTTTCTGCCTCTGATCCTATGGGGGTTTCTTTCCATCTACTCTATGATCATAAAATAGGGCCTGAAAGTGATGATTCATTTTTGGCATTCGGGTTTCCAAACGCGCAAACATTCATATATAAGTGGGATTAAAAATCACCTGTTTTTACAACTTCAAGCGGTCCCCAAGACCACCCATAAATTCAGATTTTTACCAGGAGACTCAGAATTCAGTGAAGCCCAGCCTCTCAGCACCCTCAGGGTGACAACAAACGGTGCCGCCTCTCAGGACAGGGTCCCTGAAAGCCCCCGCATTATGCTTCAGGTTTTCCTCTTAAGCGAGGGTCTACGGACAGCGCATGTGTGTCCCAGCCTTGTGGGCCGGTGCCTCTGGGAACCCCCCATCGGGGAGCTCTCCCAAGCTTTACTGTCCAGTGTTTCTGTTGAGGGTGGGGCATGACCCACCTCCTCCAAAGGACCACCAGAGAGCAGAGAGCCTGAGCCCGTGGACTGTAAATGTGTTGTTCACTCTTACATACCCTGACCCCAGAGTCCCAGATAAGCAGGACAAGCAAATCTTACAGGAACTTTTTTGGGATATATTCAGCAACCCCAGGCTAAGATTCAGCCCCTTCTTGGGCCAAGTTAATCCTTTATTCTCAGGGGCCACCCTGACCCTTAGGAGATCTGTGCCAGTCCACGCCAGTTTTGCCACATGGTGTGGAGTTATAACCCACCCCATCAGCCCTGAGGGATTCTGACCTAAAGACCTAAAGTCTCAGTAATAGTTTCCAGTTTACAGATGGTCCCTGCTTTCTGTGTCCACAATTACAGCCCTGCTCCTACAGCATCGAGTAGGAAAAAAGAAAGTTGAGGGGCTAAGGATGTAACTCAGTAATAGGGCATATGCTCTGTAGGGTATGATCTGGTAGGTATTTGTGGGGTTGGGCATACACCGGAGTGTTTCCAGGCTAGAGCCATAGTACAGAGGGTAGGGGGTTTGCCTTGCACATGGCCAACCTGGGTCCAATCTCCAGCACCCCTGAGCCTGCCAGGAGTGATCCCTGAGTGTAGAGCCAGGAGTGTCCCCCAAAAAAGGGAGCATCGCTGGGTGTGGCCCAAAAAAAGAGGGAAAAATAGCATTTTCATATAAATTAATGGCAATAAGCCAAAATATAACCCACCAAATCCTGCAAAATGGGAATGCCCCATTTTCTGCTGTTGGGAAGCCTGTGGTCCATGCCTCAGCCCCTCTTGGGCGCTGGCCTGCCAGATACAAGCCATTACTCCAAACCTGAGGAACCCCAAACAGTAAAAAACAGTGGGCAGTTAAGCCCACGTCACTGTTTACCCTCCTAGGGGTAGCCTTTTAAGCCATCTGTATTCTTTCAGTGCCAACAGCCATCCATAAACTAACCAGTTCTTTGTTGGTCACCTGAAAATGGCCTGGGGGCTGGAGTGATAACATAGCAGGTAAGGTGTTTGCCTTGCACGAGACCGACCTGGGTTCAATTCTCAGAATCCTATCTGGTCACCCGAGCACCACCAGGAGTAATTTCTGAGTGCAAAACCAGGAGTAACCCCTGAGCATCGCCAGGTGTCACACACACACACACACACACACACACACACAATGGCCTATTGGGAGAATCCAGGTGGCCTGTAGTTTCCTGACAGCCCCGAAGGCTGCCCTTGGGAGGAATAGGCTCTGTACTCTTGAGAGCACATCATTGCCTGTGGAACTTCTGGTGCAGTACTCCCCAGGGGTATGAATCCTGAGGGCGTCACCCATGATGATGTCGGTGGTCCATGTCTGAGGTCAGTGACACGACCTCTGTTCACAGAGGGTCTCGTGAACCCAAGCTGTCAGTCATGTCTCATCCAAATGGGCATTTCCTGGCCCGTTAGATCCCAGTGACCTTAGTGCCCAAGGACACTGTCTTTTCAGGCAGGGTGGTGAATGTGTCCAGCATGATGAGCCTCATGGCGCTCAAGAGCTGCAGCCCAGAGCTGCAGCAGAAGTTCCGAAGCAACACCATCACGGAGGAAGAGCTGGTGGCGCTCATGAACAAGTTCGTGGAAGACACGAAGAACGGGACTCACCAGAAGGAGGGCTGGCCCAACACCGCCTACGGCGTCACCAAGATCGGCATCACGGTGCTGTCCAGAATCCAGGCCAGGGAGCTGACAGAGCAGAGGAAAGGGGCCAGCATCCTCCTGAATGCCTGCTGCCCAGGGTGGGTGAGAACCGACATGGCTGGGCCCAAGGCCCCCAAGAGCCCAGAAGAAGGAGCAGTGACCCCAGTGTACCTGGCCCTCCTGCCCCCAGATGCCGATGGCCCTCACGGACAGTTTGTTATGGAAAAGAAAGTGGAGCAGTGGTGAGCAAGGCTGTCCACTCCAGCCATGAGCCCCAGCCAAGAGCTGTCATGATTGGACAGGTCTGCTGACAAACATAGGTCCATTCCCACAGACAAGCCTCCCCGCCACCCCAGCCCTGGCCTCAGTCAGAACCTCTATTGGGTCCACAGTGAGCTGCCTCCTGATTCTGTGATTTCTTTTTTTGTGTGATTGCTTCTGCGGCCAGCGTTTGAATCAGTGACAGCTGTGAATGAAAAGCAACAGATGAATAAAGGGTTCTGTGTAAATGTTCACATGTGCAGGTGGTTGGTATGCTGAAGAATCCTCGAGATCTAGCAGAACTAAAAGGCCACGTTTCCTGCTCCCAGGTTATAGCAGTGGTTTCTGGCTTACTCCTCATGCTCAGGGATCACTCCTGGCAGTATTCAGGGGACATTACAGGATCAAGGGGGTCAAACCAGGAACCCAGGTTGGCCACATGTCAAGGCAAATGCCTTGCCCACCATGCTCACCCTGGCCCAGTAAATTTCTTTTTTTTTTTTTCTTTTTGCTCTTGCGTCCAGCAGTGCTCAGGACTTACTGGATCTGTGTTCAGGGATCATTCCTGGTGAACTCAGGGGCCTATATCTGGTGCCGGGGATTGAACCTGGGTCAGCCACATGCAAGGCAAACACCAAACCTTCTGTACTATTGCTCCGACCATCTCTGGGTATTACTGACACCTAGAGGTGTCTGTTTCCCATGTCTTAAGCCATCGGCCGCTGGCAAATCAAGGCCAGTTAATCTTGTTATTAAAAATGTCTGGTTCCCCTGGCAACAGGCAGCCTGGTTCCCAGAGAAGTCAGGACCCGGGGACACTCCCTATGAACCCATTGATCTCTAGTGGTCAAGGGGCCATGACAGGGAGACACCAACACACATCAGCAGTTGCAGCATGAAAGGAGCCATAGAAACACACAAACCAATGCTCCGTAGCTGTTCGGGCTGCCTGCTTAATTGGCCAACCTCTGAGGAAACATGAAAAATGACCTCTAGGGAAGCAAGGCATGTGGCTTGGTCTCTCAAAATACCAGACTTCCCCCGCCACTGTCCCAGTGTCCTTCCCTCATCCTAATCCCTGCACCACCACATTCCTGCCTTAAAGACCAGTTCTCACTTTCCCTTACCTTTGTGCATGTGCTATTTATTCCCCTACTTTGTTTCTCTCTAGTTCACACTGAAGCATCCCTCAGGGTTTCGAGGACTTGCTTGCTCTGTGTGCCTCCTGAGTGCATTTCCCTGCGGTCCCATCTCTTCTGCCTTTCCCTGGCTCAGCGTCAACCTATCCGACCTGGTGGAACTTCTCTAGGCCAATTCATTAGCATTCCCGACTCCTTTTTTCTGCCTCTGATCCTATGGGGATTTCTTTCTGTCTACTCTGTGACCATGAAATAGGGTCTAAAATTAACGATTCATTTTGGAATTCAGGTTTCCAGATGCGAAAATAATGAATCATACATAAATGGGATTAAAAATCACCAGTCTTTACAACTTCAAGCAGTTTCCAAGATCACCCATGAATCCAGATTTTCACCAGGAGACTCAGAATTCAGCAAAGCCCAGCCACTCAGCACCCTCAGTGTGAAAGCAAACAGTGCCCTCTCTCTGGACAGGGTCCCGGAAAGCCCCCGCATGATACTCCGGGTTTTTCTCTCCTGAGAGGGTCTATGAACAGCACATGCATCTCCCAGCCTTGTGGGACAGTGCTCCTGGGAACCTCCCATCAGGACTTCTCCCAAGCTTTACTGTCCAGTGTTTCTGTTGAGGATGGGGCATAGCCCACTTCCTCCAAAGGACTGTCAGAGAGCAGAGAGAGAGAGAGCCTGAGCTCGTGCATTGAATGTAATTGGGCTGTTCCCAGTCTTAGATAACCTGACCCAGAGCACCAGATAAGCAGGACAAGTAAATCATACAGGATCTTTCTTGGGATATTTCCAATAACCCCGGGCTAAAGTCCAGCCCCTTCTTGGACCAACTTAATTCTTTACTCTCAGAGGCCACCGTGACCCTTTTTTCTGAACTCTCTTAACAACAGAAGGATTATTGAGTCATCTGCAGTCCATATAGAATTTTGTTTTGTTTCGAGTGGGCGGGTTGCATATAGAATTTTGTTTTGTTGTTAGGGGACGGGTTGGCTGCTCACCCAGCTGTGTCCAGGGTTCACTTCCGGCTCAGTGCTTAGGAATCACTCCTGCTGGAAGCTCAGGGGACCCCTGTGGTGCCAGGGATTGAGTTGTGTACAGGCAAGCACCCTGCCTGCTGTGCAATTTCTGTAGGCCCTTGGTACAGAATTTGTGTAACAGCAGATTTACCAAAAATATAGCAGTGGAGGGAGGTGCCGTTATACAGTGGAGGTACATTTTAAGGACTAGGCAAAGCTTTATGGCTTCCTATAACGCTCCTACATTCATTTTCACATTTGTGCTAAGTTCATTCTCCCCTGGATCTACTGCTGGGTCCTTTTTTTAGTATAGAAATATATGTGCAGAACTATTTGGTATTGTTAAGAGATCTGTGGATTCCTCTTTGAACTCAGGTAGGAGGGCTGTGAGGGTGGTTCAAAGGACTGGAACACGTGTGCTTTGCATGCAGCCATCCTGGTCACCACAGGCCTCCATCCCCCGCCCTCTCCAGCGCTGCCAGGTATGAGCCTGGTGAACCCCAAGCACAACTGGGCCCGAGCACTGAACTGTCAGTTTCTCGTAGCCAAGCCAGGAGTGATCCCGAATCCCACTAAGCATTGCTTGGGAGGTCTTACCTTTCCCCCAAAGAAAAAAATTTTGAGAGTTTATTGGAGGAAAATAAAACAATATTTGAATGCCCCATTTCCTGCTAACGGGAAGCCTGTGGTCCATGCCTCTGCCCCTCTTAGCCACTTACCTATCAGATATAAGCCATCACTCCAAACCTGGGGAACCCCAAACAGTAAAAACAGTGGGCAGTTAAGCCCACGTCGCTGTTTACCCTCTCTAGGGGCAGCCTTTTAAACCATCAGTTACTCATTTGTTGCCAGCTACCATCCATAAACTAACCAACTCTTTGTTGGTCACCAAAACATGGCTGTCCGAGAATCCAGGTGGCTTGTAGTTTCCTGATAGCCCCTAAGGTTGCCCTTGGAGGGACAGTCTCTGTACTCGTGAGAGCACATCATTTCCCGTGGAACTTCCCGTCAGTGCTCCCCAAGGGCATGAATCCTGAGAACATCTCCTATGATGATGTCGGTGGTCCTCATTTGAGGTCAGTGACATGGCCTCTGTTCACAGAGGGTCTCGTGAACCCAAGCTTGCAGTCATGTCTCACCCAAATGGGCATTTCCTAGCCCTTCAGATCCCGGTGACCCCTGTTCCCATGGACACTGTCTTTTCAGGCAGGGTGGTGAATGTGTCCAGCATGGTGAGCCTCCGAGCGCTCAAGAGCTGCAGCCCAGAGCTGCAGCAGAAGTTCCGAAGCAACACCATCACGGAGGAAGAGCTGGTGGCGCTCATGAACAAGTTCGTGGAAGACACGAAGAACGGGACTCACCAGAAGGAGGGCTGGCCCAACACCGCCTACGGCGTCACCAAGATCGGCGTCACGGTGCTGTCCAGAATCCAGGCCAGGGAGCTGACGGAGCAGAGGAAAGGGGCCGGCATCCTCCTGAATGCCTGCTGCCCAGGGTGGGTGAGAACCGACATGGCTGGGCCCAAGGCCCCCAAGAGCCCAGAAGAAGGAGCAGTGACCCCAGTGTACCTGGCCCTCCTGCCCCCAGATGCCGATGGCCCTCACGGACAGTTTGTTACGGAAAAGAAAGTGGAGCAGTGGTGAGCAAGGCTGTCTGCTCCGGCCATGAGCCCCAACCAAGAGCTGTCGTGATTGGACAGGTCTGCTGACAAACATAGGTTCATTCCCACGGACCAGCCTCCCCGCCACCCCATCCCCGACCTCAGTCAGAACCTCTATTGGGTCCACACTGAGCTGCCTCCTGATTCTGTGATTTCTTTTTTTGTGTGATTGCTTCTGCGGCCAGCGTTTGAATCAGTGACAGCTGTGAATGAAAAGCAACAGATGAATAAAGGGTTCTGTGTAAATGTTCACATGTGCAGGTGGTTGGTATGCTGAAGAATCCTCGAGATCTAGCAGAACTAAAAGGCCACGTTTCCTGCTCCCAGGTTATAGCAGTGGTTTCTGGCTTACTCCTCATGCTCAGGGATCACTCCTGGCAGTATTCAGGGGACATTACAGGATCAAGGGGGTCAAACCAGGAACCCAGGTTGGCCACATGTCAAGGCAAATGCCTTGCCCACCATGCTCACCCTGGCCCAGTAAATTTCTTTTTTTTTTTTTCTTTTTGCTCTTGCGTCCAGCAGTGCTCAGGACTTACTGGATCTGTGTTCAGGGATCATTCCTGGTGAACTCAGGGGCCTATATCTGGTGCCGGGGATTGAACCTGGGTCAGCCACATGCAAGGCAAACACCAAACCTTCTGTACTATTGCTCCGACCATCTCTGGGTATTACTGACACCTAGAGGTGTCTGTTTCCCATGTCTTAAGCCATCGGCCGCTGGCAAATCAAGGCCAGTTAATCTTGTTATTAAAAATGTCTGGTTCCCCTGGCAACAGGCAGCCTGGTTCCCAGAGAAGTCAGGACCCGGGGACACTCCCTATGAACCCATTGATCTCTAGTGGTCAAGGGGCCATGACAGGGAGACACCAACACACATCAGCAGTTGCAGCATGAAAGGAGCCATAGAAACACACAAACCAATGCTCCGTAGCTGTTCGGGCTGCCTGCTTAATTGGCCAACCTCTGAGGAAACATGAAAAATGACCTCTAGGGAAGCAAGGCATGTGGCTTGGTCTCTCAAAATACCAGACTTCCCCCGCCACTGTCCCAGTGTCCTTCCCTCATCCTAATCCCTGCACCACCACATTCCTGCCTTAAAGACCAGTTCTCACTTTCCCTTACCTTTGTGCATGTGCTATTTATTCCCCTACTTTGTTTCTCTCTAGTTCACACTGAAGCATCCCTCAGGGTTTCGAGGACTTGCTTGCTCTGTGTGCCTCCTGAGTGCATTTCCCTGCGGTCCCATCTCTTCTGCCTTTCCCTGGCTCAGCGTCAACCTATCCGACCTGGTGGAACTTCTCTAGGCCAATTCATTAGCATTCCCGACTCCTTTTTTCTGCCTCTGATCCTATGGGGATTTCTTTCTGTCTACTCTGTGACCATGAAATAGGGTCTAAAATTAACGATTCATTTTGGAATTCAGGTTTCCAGATGCGAAAATAATGAATCATACATAAATGGGATTAAAAATCACCAGTCTTTACAACTTCAAGCAGTTTCCAAGATCACCCATGAATCCAGATTTTCACCAGGAGACTCAGAATTCAGCAAAGCCCAGCCACTCAGCACCCTCAGTGTGAAAGCAAACAGTGCCCTCTCTCTGGACAGGGTCCCGGAAAGCCCCCGCATGATACTCCGGGTTTTTCTCTCCTGAGAGGGTCTATGAACAGCACATGCATCTCCCAGCCTTGTGGGACAGTGCTCCTGGGAACCTCCCATCAGGACTTCTCCCAAGCTTTACTGTCCAGTGTTTCTGTTGAGGATGGGGCATAGCCCACTTCCTCCAAAGGACTGTCAGAGAGCAGAGAGAGAGAGAGCCTGAGCTCGTGCATTGAATGTAATTGGGCTGTTCCCAGTCTTAGATAACCTGACCCAGAGCACCAGATAAGCAGGACAAGTAAATCATACAGGATCTTTCTTGGGATATTTCCAATAACCCCGGGCTAAAGTCCAGCCCCTTCTTGGACCAACTTAATTCTTTACTCTCAGAGGCCACCGTGACCCTTTTTTCTGAACTCTCTTAACAACAGAAGGATTATTGAGTCATCTGCAGTCCATATAGAATTTTGTTTTGTTTCGAGTGGGCGGGTTGCATATAGAATTTTGTTTTGTTGTTAGGGGACGGGTTGGCTGCTCACCCAGCTGTGTCCAGGGTTCACTTCCGGCTCAGTGCTTAGGAATCACTCCTGCTGGAAGCTCAGGGGACCCCTGTGGTGCCAGGGATTGAGTTGTGTACAGGCAAGCACCCTGCCTGCTGTGCAATTTCTGTAGGCCCTTGGTACAGAATTTGTGTAACAGCAGATTTACCAAAAATATAGCAGTGGAGGGAGGTGCCGTTATACAGTGGAGGTACATTTTAAGGACTAGGCAAAGCTTTATGGCTTCCTATAACGCTCCTACATTCATTTTCACATTTGTGCTAAGTTCATTCTCCCCTGGATCTACTGCTGGGTCCTTTTTTTAGTATAGAAATATATGTGCAGAACTATTTGGTATTGTTAAGAGATCTGTGGATTCCTCTTTGAACTCAGGTAGGAGGGCTGTGAGGGTGGTTCAAAGGACTGGAACACGTGTGCTTTGCATGCAGCCATCCTGGTCACCACAGGCCTCCATCCCCCGCCCTCTCCAGCGCTGCCAGGTATGAGCCTGGTGAACCCCAAGCACAACTGGGCCCGAGCACTGAACTGTCAGTTTCTCGTAGCCAAGCCAGGAGTGATCCCGAATCCCACTAAGCATTGCTTGGGAGGTCTTACCTTTCCCCCAAAGAAAAAAATTTTGAGAGTTTATTGGAGGAAAATAAAACAATATTTGAATGCCCCATTTCCTGCTAACGGGAAGCCTGTGGTCCATGCCTCTGCCCCTCTTAGCCACTTACCTATCAGATATAAGCCATCACTCCAAACCTGGGGAACCCCAAACAGTAAAAACAGTGGGCAGTTAAGCCCACGTCGCTGTTTACCCTCTCTAGGGGCAGCCTTTTAAACCATCAGTTACTCATTTGTTGCCAGCTACCATCCATAAACTAACCAACTCTTTGTTGGTCACCAAAACATGGCTGTCCGAGAATCCAGGTGGCTTGTAGTTTCCTGATAGCCCCTAAGGTTGCCCTTGGAGGGACAGTCTCTGTACTCGTGAGAGCACATCATTTCCCGTGGAACTTCCCGTCAGTGCTCCCCAAGGGCATGAATCCTGAGAACATCTCCTATGATGATGTCGGTGGTCCTCATTTGAGGTCAGTGACATGGCCTCTGTTCACAGAGGGTCTCGTGAACCCAAGCTTGCAGTCATGTCTCACCCAAATGGGCATTTCCTAGCCCTTCAGATCCCGGTGACCCCTGTTCCCATGGACACTGTCTTTTCAGGCAGGGTGGTGAATGTGTCCAGCATGGTGAGCCTCCGAGCGCTCAAGAGCTGCAGCCCAGAGCTGCAGCAGAAGTTCCGAAGCAACACCATCACGGAGGAAGAGCTGGTGGCGCTCATGAACAAGTTCGTGGAAGACACGAAGAACGGGACTCACCAGAAGGAGGGCTGGCCCAACACCGCCTACGGCGTCACCAAGATCGGCGTCACGGTGCTGTCCAGAATCCAGGCCAGGGAGCTGACGGAGCAGAGGAAAGGGGCCGGCATCCTCCTGAATGCCTGCTGCCCAGGGTGGGTGAGAACCGACATGGCTGGGCCCAAGGCCCCCAAGAGCCCAGAAGAAGGAGCAGTGACCCCAGTGTACCTGGCCCTCCTGCCCCCAGATGCCGATGGCCCTCACGGACAGTTTGTTACGGAAAAGAAAGTGGAGCAGTGGTGAGCAAGGCTGTCTGCTCCGGCCATGAGCCCCAACCAAGAGCTGTCGTGATTGGACAGGTCTGCTGACAAACATAGGTTCATTCCCACGGACCAGCCTCCCCGCCACCCCATCCCCGACCTCAGTCAGAACCTCTATTGGGTCCACACTGAGCTGCCTCCTGATTCTGTGATTTCTTTTTTTGTGTGATTGCTTCTGCGGCCAGCGTTTGAATCAGTGACAGCTGTGAATGAAAAGCAACAAATGAATAAAGGGTTCTGTGTAAATGTTCGTGTGTGCTGGTGGTTTGTATGCTGAAGCAGCCCTGAGATCTAGCAGACCTAAAGGTGCCTGACCAGCCGACAGTCGAACGGGTCAAGAGAGTAGGTGAGGATCAAAGAAACTGCATACAAGTGGTTGAGAGGGCTGAGTTCTCATGAAACAGCAGCATTGATCTTTATTTCACACAGCCTTTTATACATCTCTATCAGGAACTTGGCAGGTAAAATCATCCATTAGAATTACAAAAAAACGTATTCCCAAGATCATACATTTCTTTGATTACAACAAGTATAGGAAGTATAGCACTGTCCTCCCATTGTTCATCCATTTGCTCGAGCGGGCACCAGTAACATCTCACAACACCAGTAACATCTCACAACAAATTGTGAGTCTTGTCATTACTGTTTTTGGCGTATTGAATACGACACAGGTAGCTTGCCAGGCTTTGCCGTGTGGGCGAGCTACTCTCGGTAGCTTGCCTGGCTCTCTGAGAGGGGCAGAGGAATCGAACCCGGGTCAGCCATGTTGGCCACGTGCAAGGCAGATGCCTTACCGCTGTGCTATTAGATCAGCAACTGGAAATAAGAATAAAGTACACTGAAGAACACTCTGATCCTTCCTGTATTCTTTTCATGGTTTACCAAAGGTGTAATTTCCTACATATGCCACAAAAATCACAATACATCCATTTCTCATTAACTTCTCTTGCAAACTGAGGATGGTGAAGTATTAACCTCTATAGGACTGGTTTGGCCTATAATGACTACTCGACGTATTAGAGGTGGTGGGACTGAAAGCTATGCCAAGTACTCTTGGCCCTCTGAGTAAGGCAGCTTCCAGGGGACATCCACTTAAGGACCCTGCATAAGCAGGCAGCTCCCCACATAAAGGGCCACGTTTCCTGCGCCAAGGCTATAGCAATGGTTTCTGGAAGACATCGCTTCTTAATGCATGTGGGCCTGAGACAAGTACTGTTATAAATACTGATATGTAAATGTTGTGGGATAGGCACAACCCTGCAGTGCTTTAGGCTTACTCCTCCGTGCTCGGGGATCACTCCTGGCAGTGTTTAGGGGACATTAGGGGGTGCTGGGGATCGAACCAGGTGCCCACCATACTCATCCTAGCCCAGTAAATTTTTTTTTTTTTTTTTTTTTTTTGCTCTTGGGTCCAGCAGTGCTCAGGACTTACTCCTGGTTCTGCATTCAGGAATCATTCCTGGTCAGACCAGAGGATCATATGGGGTGCCAGGGATTAAAACCCAGGTTGGCGGCCACATGGAAGGTGGGTGCCCTCTCTGCTGTACTACTGTTCTGCTCCCCGCTTTTTTAATGCTAGAAATACTGTAGAATATTTTTTTAGTTATTTATACTGATATTAATGTGCACATTTGTGTGTGTGTATATTTCTTTGTGGGTTTAGTTTTGGGCCATACCCAGCTGTGCTCAGAACTTCTTCCTTCCTGGATCTGTGTTCAGGGATCGCTCCTGGTGAACTCAGGGGACTGTATGTGGTGCCAGGGATTGAACCTGGGTCAGCCACATAAAAGGCAAGCACTAAGCTTTCTGTACTATTGATCCGGCCATCTCTGGGTATTGCTGACACCTAGAGATATCAGTTTCCCACGTCTCAAGCCATCAGCCGGCTGGCAAATCAAAGCCAGTTAAGCATAGTGGGTAGGGCGTTTGCCTTGCATGCAGCTGACCCGGGTTTGATTCCTCTGCCCCTCTCAGAGAGCACGGCAAGCTACTGAGAGTATTCCGCCCACATGGCAAAGCCTGACAAGCTACCCGTGACGTACTTGATATGCCAAAAACAGTAACAACAAGTCTCACAGTGGAGATGTTACTGGTGCCTGCTCAAGCAAATCGATGAACAATGGGAGGACAGTGCTACAGTGCTTAGAAATGGTAGGTTCCCCTGGCGACAGCCCGGTTCCAAGAGAAGTCAGAAGGGGGTGGGAGGGAGCACTCCCCTCGGGCCCAGCAATCTCCAGTGGTCCAGGGGTCGTGCCAGGAAGATGCCAACACATCAGCAGCTGCAACAGGAAAGCAGCCATAGAAATACACAAACCCATGCTCCATAGCTGTTCAGCCTGCCTGCCTTAGTTAGCCATCCTCCAGGGACACATGAAAAACGGCCTCTAGGGAAGGAAAGCAACTGGCTTGGTCTCTCAAAATACCAGACTCCTTGGATAAGATCATCGCAGGTGGGACTGTGAGTGTCGGTGTTTCAAATGCAGCCTGAGAGAATGAGAGCGTGGGTGACTGGCTCAGTGGCTGTGGCTTGGAAGGCTTGGGTTGTCGCTGCACTGTAAACTCCACAGGTCCTTGTGGAAGGAAGCATAAACTGTCATGAGACGCACACCCTTAATCAGGCAAAGCGAAACAGAGATGTCCTCTCCACTTAATATGGTGATCGTTGAGCCGGAGAAAGCACAGTGGGCAGGGCACTTGCCATGCAGGCAACCAACCTGGGTTGATTCCCAGCATCTCATAGGATCCCCCTGAGCACCTGAGTGCAGAGCCAGAGGTAACCCCCTGAGCACTGTCGAGTGGACCCCAAAACCAAGGAAGATCCTCGTTGAACCTAATTTGATGAGAATCTCTAGACTAGGCCCTCTTCAGCTTCCCCTCAGAAACGCACCCCGGCTGAGCAGTGCCAGAAACAGCTCAGATTCGTGTCATGACTGATGTTGGATCTTTTTTTTTTTCCTATTCTCATGCATTGAGAAACCTTTCACTGTGGCCAATTTTTCTCACAGCCCCCATATTCAGTTATGCAACCCCGCGTGGGGTGTGACCCACAGGCAGAAGTAGCTTCATGGAGGAGGCTTTCAACACCTCTGTTCCAGAGCCTCAAAGACAGACATCTGGGGCTGGAGAGATAGCACAGCGGGTATGGCGTTTGCCTTGCACGCGGCTGACCCGGGTTCAATTCCCAGTATCCCATATGGTCCCTTGAGCACCGCCAGGAGTAACTCCTGAGTGCAGAGCCAGGGGTAACCCCTGTGCATCGCCGGGTGTGACCCAAAAAGCAAAAAAAAAAAAAAGACAGACATCTGGGGACAGCAGTCCTGGCTCTGCCATCTTTTCCTCATGGCCTTGAACAAGAGGATTTCCAACTTAATGTGCTTCCCTCCACTTGGTTTGCACTTTTTACCAGAAGGAGGGACACGTATGTCTTTATTGCAGAATGAACACATCTGCCTGGGGATGCAGCGGCACCTGACCACTGAGGCCTGGGCCAGCAGGTGGAGTCTGAGGGCAGTCCCCAAAGCACCTGTGTCCAAATCCAGAATGGGGACACTAGAGGGACTGGCTAACTGGCTAACTCCCGTCATCCCCAGGGACCACATTCGAATTTTTGCTTTTTTTTTTTTTTGGCTTTTTGGGTCATACCCGGCAATTCTCAGGGGTTACTCCTGGCTCTACACTCAGGAATTACTACTGGCAGTGCTTGGGGACCATACAGGGTTCCAGGGATCGAAGTCAAGTCAACCTCATGCAAGACAAATGGTCACTGTGCCCTTCCTGCTCTGACTGGGGGCTCCCACTTTCCTGCCTGAAACCTAAATTCAGACCTCCTCCAGGTCCTTGAACAAGGACCCACCCTCTGCCACTCTGAGCCTTAGTCTCTTCCTTGGGACCAAGGAAAGTGAAAGCAGAATCTACCTCTTAGGGATGCGGCGCCTTCAGCAGACCAGTTTACTCGCAACACTCAGGGCCTCATAACCAGAGCCAAACTGTGCCGATGGGTCTGATTTGTGTGAGGCCTCAGTTTGCTCACCTGTGAAGTGGTCTAAGGATCTAAGGCAGCTCCAGACACCGCCGCTCAGGGTGGTGGTGCAGATTAAAGAAGATAGCACGCGAAATGTAGACAGCTGGTGCCTGATAATGGTCACACCAGTCCACTTCCTGCCTCTTCAGTCTCTTCCTCCAACCACCTCCACCACCCTCCTCCTCCAGATGGCTAACACATTCGGAAGGAGCTGGAATGAGGTGAGAGAATTTAATTTCTAATCGGTGCTGTCCAGGACTGCCCCTCCCCTACCCCAGATTGGGGGGGTGGGAGGGGGGTACCTAGGGTTTTGCTGGTTTTTACAGTGGAATGCAAGAACCAAATGTGCAGTAGGGGAACCAGGCGTCACAGGATGGGGACAAGAATCGGGATAAGGACTCTGGGATCGGGCAGCAACCATAGGAAGGCAGCTGGAAGGGGACAATAGTCAGAATGGGGATAAGTCACAGGACATAATGAAGGTGACACAGGACACAGCAGCATGGAGAGAAAGAAGCTCCGCTCTCACAAGTGCCCATGAGTGCGGCCCAACCCAAACCCAGCTCCCAGGGACCTCAGAGAAGGGCTCCTTCAGCCTGGAGGGCTGTGCTGGTGATTAGCGATCCCCGCCCACCACCACCAGACCCAGAGTCCCACACTCACAAGGCGTCCATGCTACCACTGAGCTCCCTCCCCGGCCGAGATCCCTGATCTGCTTTTCTGGTTGGCCTCACCCCTCTCCTCCTCTCCGTCAGTACTGCCGCCATGACCGGAACCATACGTGCCCCTCCCCAGGGTCCCCACAGGGTCCACATCATCAGGTCGTGGCACTTGCTTTTCAGCAGGATGGGGGGAGCCTTTGTTTTCAAGGTGAGGTTTGTGGCCCAAGAGATAGTACCGTGGATTGGGCACTTGATTTGCACACAACCAAGCCGGGTTCGATTCACAGCATCCCATACATTCCCCCTGAGCATGACTAGAGAGACCCCCTGTGTGTTGGCAGTCTCCCTGGCACAACCCTTGACCTAGAGGTCGCTGGGCCCTTAGGGAGTGCCCCAGGTCCTGACTTCCCTGGGAATCAAACTGCTGCCAGGGGAATCTAACAGTTTTTCTTTTTGGGTCACACCCAGCGATGCACAGGGGTTATTCCTGGCTCATGCACTCAGAAATTACTCCTGGCAGTGCTCAGGGGACCTGGCCGCGTGC